TCGGCAGGGGGTTTGGACTAGATGACCCACAGAGGTCCCTTCCAACCCCGACCATTCTGTGATTCTGTGATTCTGTTTAGTTTTATTACTGCCTATAGCAAAGTCAAATCATTGAAGTTAAGTCTTTCCAGTCCCTATTGCAGTTTTATAGCACAGGACTTGGTGATTATGACACTTCCTCTAGCTAACTTTTGCATGTAGACATCCCAATGTCCAATGCAACAGCATCAGAACATACTACTAAACCCTTCTTGAGGAGGAACTCTAGTTAAAGCTGGAAACTCTGCCAAAACTGGACATGAAGTCGTGATCTCATTGAAGTCAATGGCAAAACTTAAACTAACTTCAAAATAAATAAAAAATTAATATCTTCATTTAGCACTGTGAGTAACAAAATATATTTGTTGCCTTGGGAGTCTTTTGGCTCTTGGTTTTATTTGCTAATCTTTTATCATTCTGGAATATTACAAAATGACTAAAGTATCAAGTTATACCTTGAGCTACGGAAATGCTAAAGAAATACTTAATGTTTGTTGTAACAGCTAAACTACATCTTACTAACTTCAGTACACAAGCTACCTAGCAATAAATTCAACAGAAAATGTTTTTTATCTTAAATTACCAAAAACTTTGCCCAGTTAATCAATATACTTATAAACATGAAATCCAAATTCAAACCTCTGTAATACAGAAGTTGGTAAAATACTAAATTCTCAATTATAAGATAATATCTACAGTTTAAAACTAAAAACAAATATTAACCTCCTATCCTTCCAAAATTCCCAGTTTCAGAGTCTTAGACTTTATATCAACTGCAGCTTGAATTGTCTAAAAACCATGAATTGAAAAAAAACATATGGTCATAAAAAGAAGACATAATACTATTACATGTCACTGACAAACATCAACAGAGCTACTACTACTCACCACTTTTCAGTTCCTGAGTTTCTGGTGGCAAAGAATCAAATGTTCTAGCTCCAACACACATCAGCTTTTCCACTCTCTCTGCAGTGATGTCAAGAGGACTTGGAAGTTTATTACACACCATGGCTAAAACACATCGCTAAGGATATATATTTATATTTCATTACTGATTGCAAATAAAAGGAAGGCAAATGCTTTCAATGTTTGTTTCTTTAAATCAATCTTATACACTAACTGCCAGCAACAACAGATAGCAAAAAATCCAATGCATACAGCTCCCTCTGAAGTCAGCAACAATTTCTGGCATTTATCCAAGGGTAGACTGGATAGTTAAGTAGGGGTGGCTCACGCGATGCGCAACTAGGATACTAAGAACAGCACAACTGGGGCAAGATTTTAGAACTAATTAGTATTTATAGATCGATAAGTTGTGCATACCTACTACAATATAATATGTATTATTATAAATGATGAGAAGACCACCTACATAGCAGACAAACAGCAAAGGCTGATCTTGGATTAAGAATGTATACACCTAAAACAACACCAGATGCCTACAGAAACTCATGGACAGAAGAGCTAAGATACTATTCTGAAAAGGAGATTGGCTTCTCCTTCAGGAAAAACACTAAAATCACACATAAATTACATAATGAAAATGTATTGTTAAACTACCTCAAGTTTCATAACTTATTTTCCTAACAAAAGGATGCATGCAAAAGCACAAAGTTGGTAGTAATGTAAGACTAATCGTAGATAGGTAACTTAATATTACAAGTGAGAAAATACATCCAGCTAGCATAGGCACAGGCATGAAGAAAGAGACCCAATCCTACCGAATCACACACTGAAATACGTGAGCGCTATTTGAAATCTGAGAACTGCCGATAGAGCAAAGAGAGTATCTTCCTTAAGGATACAGAGGACTGCATCAGATATTGGCAGCCATTGGCTACAAATGGCATTAAGATGAACTTTTGGATCTCCATGCCGTGCCTCCCGTGCACCAATTTTCAATCCCAAAGAGGTGACTATCTTTTCAATTTTTTCTTTGTCTCTGTAAGAAAAATAATAAATAGATAAAAAAAACCACAGTAGCAACACATAACAAGCATCTACTACATTTCTTGTCTGAGTATTTCAAAAGTCACCACGGCACATGCAAAGAGATTCCACAAAAACTTTATAGGTCTCACCTTTTCATAACTGCTTCATATAGACTCCATATGTTGTCCAGCACCAACTGCACAAACAAAGGTTTCTTTCCTTTTGACTGCTAGAATAGAAACATACAGCTAATTACCAGCAATTCCTCAATTTTACAGTAGGCTTAAGATTGCACTTTTAACTGACCATTTTCATAAGGAGCATGTAAAAGCTTTATTCAAAATCAAGACAGTCACTTGTTTCTACACAAGATCACTACTTCAACAGTCTGTCTTACAGGAATGGTATAAGAAAATAAACATGAAATTTTAAAGTGAAGGACAAGGGTTTCAATTGCCCTAAATATGGAACATGTCTTCCTCGAGCCTGGCTATCACCTTTTTTTGTAACTACTAATCCTCACCTCAAAAAAGACAGAAAAAAATCATTATTAAATGAAAATAGGGAAAACTCCTTTCTCCCCTCTTAACTTTCAGTGGTGCAAACGCTTAATGCAAGAGAAGCACAGTTTTCAGGCCAGTGTTTCCGGTCTAGCATTCAGTGGGATCTCACTAAGGCAAAACACATTTTCTAAATCCTAAATCCTAAGCTAAACATGAATACTCTAAATCCTCAGCTGCTGAAGGACTCTTCAAGACAGAGACCCACTCACTACTCTGGTTTCTACATTGTTAGTCTTCCATTCATCTTGTGGTTCACTCTATGTGGAATCCTTGAAGCTGGAATGAATGGCCCTTATTTTGTGAACAGAGACATTTAAGAGCAACTGTGAGCACCGTTAGATGAGAGTTCCTTCATGTAGCTTTTGAATGGTCAATTTTGCAATGTTCTCTTCTCCAAGGGCTGATATAAGGCTATCCTAGTGACTTTACACTTCCACTGATGTTAAGTGAAAAGGTACTGAGGTCAATTTTCAAAATACACAATGAGGAACAGAATTAAAACCAAAACAAAACAAAAATAAAACCAGGTAGTATTTCTGACAACCTCCCTACCTGATCACCTTTCATTATCTTCTTTGCTTTTGTATTTAGATAATAATCTCCCCACAAAGTCTTCAGAAGTACTGCAGGTTTGATTCCAATCTTTTGGCTGTACAGTTTGGCAAAATGCTCAATGCTGAAAGGAAACAAAATGCATCTTGATAAAAGTTGTTTACATGTGCTTATCAGCCTAAGCAATGGACAGCTTACATGAAAATCACATGCAAATCTAAAAACCTTGTTTTACTCCCGTTTTTCTAATTGCCATCACTTTAGCTCACATTGTTTAACATTTACATCTGTAAAAATATTTAGTCATAACAGCTCCAAAATGTCAGCAGTATTTGTATGTTTTTGTTTTGTTTCAAGTCAGCTTTAAGGCTCAACTTGTTTATTTGAAATAAATATTTGTGTACTACCCCCTCAGTAAAAACTCAAAAGCATAATACAGGAGTTCTAAATATTTAACTATGGTCTGTGACTGGAAAACTCCAAGTTAAAAATCAAGTATTCTTTTGAGCCACACTTGAGCCATCAGATGGTCAGAATTATTCTTTAAATTAACTGCTTAGAGCACTGCTTGTTGTTTGAATCATTGCTTTAATAATGAGTAAAACCCAGAAAATAATACAAAAACTGTAATGCCAAAATTGTGTTATAAAACCAATTGTGTTGTTCACTAGTCTCCATGAATTAACAAAAGCAGGCTGCTTACAACCTGAAGAGGGAGTCATGACCATTCTATGGTTTCCTTGTGAAAATACTGAGTGATCAATAACAGAAAAAAATTTCTACATATTTGCTCCCTTGCACATGGAAACCAAAATACACGTTTTCAATCAGAACGATCCTATTTACAGTACAATGATATTTGATAATCTGTTCTTTGAAATCTAGAATTCTCAAATTTCTACACACCTAAGAAAAGACCTGCCCATGTCAGCAAGACATAAGCTACGAGTTCTGAACTAAGAACAGAAAGGAGATTTTTTTTTTCCAGAAACTACCCCAAATTCTGAACAGGCAGAGAACCTTCAAGATTCTTGTCCTAGCAGCTCCTGCATATGTATTTATGGCATTCTTTCAACAAGTGAGGATTATGAGAAAAGCATATGTACTAATTGCACTGGATAAGGCTGGCACTGCCTAATGGCTTAACTTTTTTGCCACAACAAGTCCTAATACCTTCAGGAACAGAACCCACAACCACATAACAGCAGTCAAGGCTTGCCCCGATTAAGAAAATGCTCCAGTGATCTGTATTTCACTGCACGGTACTGCTGGCAGTCCAGAGGCACCTCTTGAAACTAATTAAGGAAAATGTTCCTTTTGCCCCCACATTATATGATTTGTCAGAACCAGGGCCTGTCAGTTCATCATAAGAAAGAAAACAGTATCAGAAAGCGAAGAATATTCCTTCAGCTGCAACAAATACATTAAAACATATTCAGGATGTGAGGGAAAAATGGAGAATTAGGACAGGTACAAATCAGAAAACTAGCAGATGGGAGTCCTGTCATTTGTCCAAGCTGTAGGCACATTTTGTGGGATAGTGAACAGATTAACACAAATTAGTGTACTGTGTAATGTATATACAGCCTGATCCAGACCCAGCAGCAGAATACTAATACCCCTTGCCTAAGCTGGATTCATAAAGGTTTTTGGCTGAGACAGTCTGATAGATGGATAGTTCAATGAATATAAACTTTAAAAAGTTTCAATATATAAAGAAGGGGATTAAAATTGGGGGAATCTTAGCAAACGTGGTTTTTAATATCATATTGAATAAAAAGCATTTTAAGTTTTTAAGTTCATCTTGTATCAGTACAGTATTGGCAAAGAATAAACAGAAAACCTATCAATCCTCCCACATATAGCAATATACCACTCACAAAAATAAGGACAGGTCACATGTGGCCCTCCCCTCACTTGAAGCTAAATTACAACCAATATTTAGATTTAAGCCTTATAGAAATTCTACAAGTAAGGTTCAAGTCACTTGACAAACATTTCAAGTGGCAGGTACACAGCAAATGCAAAGAAACAACTAAAGCTTGACCAGTTATGGTTCCAATTCTCGTTATCCTAGCATGTACCATTAACTATCTACCACACATTCTGCTCTGCAGAAATAGCAATTACCAACATACACCATGTGCTAAAAGCTTTGTGGGAAAAATAATTAAAAAAAGAAAATCAACACAAGTTATTATCTCCAAGAACAACAAACTGGAGACTCTCAAGCCCTAAGCATTGTTTCAGAGAAATTTTCTTCTCCCCCTCTCTATATACACACCAACGCTACTACAAGAGACACACAACCTGGAAGTACATCAGTAAAGTCCTGTGTCAAATAGTTCAAATTGAAGTATTTTCTTCTAAATTTCTGAGCTGGATGAACAAATTACTTTTCTGCCACATTTGTATGAAACTTAATTCTATCTGCAGAGAAATTATCAGAGGAAAAGAAATCATGAAGGAAGATAACTATCTGAACTCTCACTTTTACAAAAATAACCATTATATTCACCTACCATTTAAGAACAACATGCTTGTTTTCTCATTTACAAAGGTGATCACAGGATGTTTATGACCACTACAGAATGTAGTTCTGTAACCTACAAAATCTTAATAGTTGATAATTCACTTGCAAATATCAAGTAGCTTGAGCTAAAGAAATTGCTTCTAAAATACTTTTGAGTTTATAATTCCACTTACTGTAACAAAGTACTCCACTGCATTATTTTCTTTAAGAAACATTTTTCTTAATGTTTAGCATTCCCTAGCAGCATACTTGGAATACTAATACTAAACCTAGGCCACCTTTGAACTTCCCAAAACGAAAACTTAGCTTTTTGTTTTCATTTATTCCCTTCCGCAGGTTTTAACAATATCCAAAACAAAAGCAAGCTGCAAAGTGACCAGTCTTTTTACCTACAGCATTTTTTTTTTTCAACATCCGCTAAAGAAAATGTTCATACTCTGACTCTGAACTTGAACAAGCTCGTTAGAGTTGCATCCCAAATACTCTGCATAACAACAGTTTACTACCATAATCCATTTTCCACAGCATTTCAACGAAAAGTTACAAGACAGGAAAGCCACAGGCCACAGAAATCAAAATAATCTTTTATTGCACACTATAAAACAGAAGAGTTACTGTGGGCACCATATGGGAACGGAGGACTTCAGATAAGATGCGTGTTAATGTGCAGATCACCAAAGGTATCAGAAAATCCCCTCTAGCCTTCAGAAATGCTCTCCTCTCACGTACATCCTCTATGAAAAAATCTCTTTCAGACGAAAGAATATTCCAACTTGTCAGAATTTGAAGAGTTGTTTTCAATGTCCTTTATATCACTTTTGCTTATTACATTATGATTTTTCTTTTTCTAACTCATTACTATTCACGGCAGATAATTAAACTAAAATAACCCATTTTATTTTCCTTTTCCTCTGCAGTGATAAGAAATGTTTGTTTTAGACTACAAACTACACATGGAACCTTATTTAAGAGCTTGTCTTGACTTAAAAATCCTGGAGCTGATTTTTTTAAAGGTTTTGCAATGCTAAAGACATGCACTGCATTACTGAGTGCACCTTCTTCATTATATTTTCATGCTAAAGACGATGACTCCACCTTGTGGCAAGCAATCAGAACACGTATCTTTACACTAGCCTGCCGCCCTTTGAAACTACTAAGAACAGGACTGAAAAATAGAACTAATGACAAACTCAAATACAGCAATCTAGAAAATTTCCGGAAATTGTTCTATCCCCAAATTCTTATGTTTACTTAAACACCCCTGCAACGCTCTTTAGCAACTGCCGAAACAGATATAAAGATATTAGGTGACAGGTGACACTGCTGCCCTGATGCCAGCTGCCTGTCTTATGCTTGCTACGAACGTCACCATCCCTGTAGCTGGGAGGCGCAGTCTACTTGTGAAACCGCTCCTGTACTGCCACAGTTTTTGGCCCAGTCTATTACAGCCTATGAAAAGTCAGCAATTCATACTGCACTACAGTGGGCTCAGCAGCTGCTGTGTAAGTAAAACAAGGGTCTCTGTCACATAGAGGACACAGTTGGTAGTATTTTCAGCAGTGCAGTGTCAATAATATATTAGAACTGATTATACACAGTTGCATATCACAGAAGAATATAAAAAACATATTTGGAAATATGACACAACTGAAAATACTTTAAAATTGACTGCACTACTCAATTAAAAAAAGACAGTAACTAAATCCCAGACTTACCCAAAACCCCAGCCATCAATTGCACTGGCAAACACTACATTTCCGTGGTCTGGTGAAAAATAAAGATGTGAATCATCAGTATCTTCCAATCCAGTGCTCCAGTCATAAATCTGATCTCCTGGTGCAACATCTGAAATACTTTCACTCTCTGTTTCTTTCTCAGCTCTTTCTTCTAAGACTTTAGAGGTAAAGAGTGCTCCAGTGACTGCATTGATCTACAGAGGAGATGTAAAAAACACTCTTAAGATGTTCACTCTTTCACAGCCCTTAAAATTAAAATGCAATTCCCCCCACCCTCCAAAACATAAAAAAGAAGGTTTTTCTTAACAAGATAGCACATCTCTGATTCATCTTGCAATTTGCAACACAGACCTTGTGTATCTAATCTTGTCCATCTGAAGACAACAGGAGTGTAATGAGACTAGCATTGCGACTTAAACATCTGGTACTCTCCAAGACAAAGTCAGCCACATTAGGATTGGATCAGATATAGAGCATCGTGTGTAATATACTTTGTCTCTCAGAACAAGGAATGTTACCGCCAAAAAATAACAAACGCAGGCAAAGGCAAAACAGGTAGAGAAGTGCTTATATGTAAGCTCGGAGGGGGAATGTTTGAAAGCAACTTAATTTACAACTTAAAAGATTAATTAACTTTATCACTGCATAAATCCATCAATATCAGGAGCAGCCTAAAGATACTATTTGTCTACCTCCAAACAAGCTTAAGCAATTTAACAGGAAGAACAAAACATTCAGTATATCCTTTCTAAAAATGAAGACTTTTCCTGATGACCTGTCCAGAGGCATTTAACACTTTATCACAGACATTCTGAAGGAACCTCAAAACCAACTGGAAATAAAATGTATCTCAATGTTAAAAATTAAGACTAGATCTTACAGTTCTTGATCCCACAAGGTAAGAAAAAACTGGTTGTGCTGCACTAAATTTATTCCAGCTATAAGCCAGTGAAAATCAGTGTCTCTCTCTCAATTCAAGAATGGAGAACAGAGGGAAGAAAAAGTCCTCCACAAAATCTGCTGTGTGAACATGACATTATAGCAAGAATACCTGTTCTAAGATATTTTTAAGGTGCAAGTATGCTTCCTGAGGAGTGAGCTTGAGCTCCACAATCAAGCGATCAATTTTATTAATCACCAACACTGGACGTATATTTTCGAGCCATGCTTGCCGTAGAACTGCTTGAGTCTATTAAGAAGGAAATAGTTAAAAAAAAAAATCCATTACAGAAAACTTGATACCACAAAAGCAATGGAATGTCAAAGAAAATTACAATATAATTCTAAAATTTAATTAAACATATAATAAAGGACAGGTTGACATTCAAACCAGAAATTTGACTCCTATAGTACATAGCGTTAGTTATTACGGAATCCTGCAGAATGGCAGAATTTCATGGCAAAACCACTACCAACAAAAAAACCCCTACTTTATAAAAGTAAGCCATGAATAAAAGCAATTTCAAAGTTATTTTGTGTATTTTTTCACTTTCAATACCCTCAAAGCACATTTAAAAATATTATTTCCCTTAAGACTTTTATTTCTTCTCTATACAAATATTCCACTGTCTGAAAAATTGCATACTCACTGTTTCAATCCTACATCACTACACCCACTCACCAGTGTTGCTCAGTTTTTCAACATGACTATGAAATTAACTACCCTCTTTCATACCTCGAGTACATTGTCTTTTCTTCTTAAACCTGCTTATCTTTTATTTCTACATAACAGACTTAGGACTTTGCTTACTCTTGTCTTCTGTACCCTCTTTCTCTATTTAATACACTTTATTTCACCTGTGGACAGACTCCTTCAACAGCATCCACCACTATGATGCAACCATCACAGAGTCGGACAGCAGTAGATACTTCTGAAGAAAAATCCACGTGCCCTGGGGAGTCTATTAAATTAATCAGATACTCCTGATCACCTAGGATCAAACAATAAATTAATATTTCAGAGCAGTTTTAAAAAATATTTCTTCCAGCCACCCGGTTATACTGCTTAAGCTATTATTAATTTCTAAGGACCAAATCTGCAGTAACCATTACGCTTAACAAAAACTCCAGCAGGACAGGAAGACTGTCAGCAGCATAACTTCTACTTGCTTGTGCCAAACTCATTTTAATTTCACTCTTAATGCTAATCTTCACCTTTCAATGCCCAGTTACCTTTGGAAAATTAAAAGCAAAAAACCACCAGCTAACGAACCAAAAATAAAAACCCTAGCCCTGAACAAGTTTGTAGTAGCATTACAAATAGATTACTAGCTGAAACACTAATCAAAAGCATTACAGTCTGCATTTTAAAGATAAATCATGACAGACTATCACAAAAATAAACCCTACATTTTTGATAAAATGCTTCATTTCAACATTGTGATTTTTTTAAAACACGCTTTTGACTCCATATTACTAAAATATTTTCAACGTCTCAATACAGGAGAAGTTTTCAGTATTTTCTACACTACTTCCCACAAAAATTCTGCTTAGCAGAGACTCCAGACAACTTTTGATGAACTCACAGCATTTATCATCAGCCATGATCCAAATAAGATCGAACAACTGTCCTGTGTAAGAAGTTGTATTAGAGTCTAAATTTCAACACAACAGAAAAACAACAGACATAAAAGGTTCTAACCATGAAAAGTAAGGTAATTTCAGATTCAACAATAAAACAGCCACAGTTTACAACACTTAGCTGGAAGACCGTTGATTTCAACCACTTTTTATAATCAGCAGTAGCTGAAATGGAATGACTAGCGGTGCCTTTTCTGTTCACACAATTTTTCTGTTAGCTATTCTTTCTTCTGCACAAGCCTGTTAGTAACGTATTCCATGTTTTTCATTCACTCAGCTGAGGATAAGACTGGTGGGGAACATGTAGTCATAACGAAGATGACATTGTAACTACACTATAAAAAGCCCTCTGAACAATTTATACAAATGCCTTGACATAAATGTCTAGTAAAGATAAGACAGTACAAACTCATTTAAAATTTCTTGTTTTTTGAAAGAAGGTCTTGCCTTTAAGCAACAATATCTCAACACTCAAGATGAAAATATAAAGATTCAGATCTAAAATAAAAAGACAAAGGCAACTATTCTATTGCCTCCACTCAGAGACACGATTGAAGACGGTTCTCCTAACCGTGAGATGGAACTTGATTATCCTGACTAACAGCTGAATACACGCCAAAGTCTTGCCAGAATCATGGCCTAACACTGCAAGACACAAAAGTAAAAGCTGCATACAAAGTGATCTCAACAGCAACAATGAAGAAACAGGGAAAATTAACTGAAATATACATTAAAGTTTACACTTGCAGGCATCAACAACTTACCTTTCACAAAGTGCAATGAAATTGCACTAGATTTCATTGTTATTCCGCGGATCTGTTCATCTTCTCTACTGTCTAGATATCTCAGCTGAGTACAAAAACAAAAGAAGAGATGATAAATCTGTACAGTTCTCTTCACAAGCTACTCATCAACTGTCAAAGAGTACGACTGCGAGAAAATGAGGTTTAGCAAGACAAGGAATGGAATTTCCTTAATCACCACCGATTTACAACCCCAGCATGAACACACCAGAATTATGTTAAAAATGACAATATAAGTCTACCTTTCCTGCCAAGCGGCTAGAGATTATTCCATTGCTTGATATCAGACAATCAGCTAGTGTAGTTTTGCCTGAAAAGAAAAATAAATTACTTAGTTTAAATCAATACAGACAACGGAAAAAAATGGAACAATATCACGACTGCTGACAACATCTAGTGTTCTAAGATATCAACATTAATAAAAGCCTTAAAATGCCATAGAAGTACAATCTAACTATAAAAAAATTAAATCCGATTATTCAACTTCACCTGTTGGGTGAACACAAATTTATTTTTGAAGAGTGCATGTAACCTTACCTGTCGTGACCAGAAAAGTAGTTGAAATAAAAAACAGTACATCAGAACCTCAATATATCATGCAATCAGACAAAAGATTTGTGTCCTAAACCGAGCATTTAGTATTTCCACCTACACAACAAACTTCTTCCATTAAGTAACTGTGGAAATACAACAGCCTATCTCATGCATGCATACACTTAATTCATGTCGACATTCAGCACCGCAACAGCAGAAAATGTCCAGTTTCAATTATTCCAAATTATTTTAGTGTAATGCCCTCTTAACTTCTCAAAGATATGCTGCTTCAGGACAAAAGAAATGCGCATAAAGCAAATTTACTTCTCAGAATCAGGATTAAGCCAGTTTAAAGCCCAATCTGTGAAAACCTACCGCTTCAAAACCATGACCACAATCCCTCACCGTCATTCAGGCTAGCACAAGCACAAGTTTTCCTCGCAAGGTGTCTGCCCCTCACCAAGCCCTGTCTTACCGTGATCTACGTGGGCTAAAATACAGATGTTCCGGATTCCAGAAGTCTTCTTCTGGAGGCCAATCATCTTCCCCACACTGGTGAGGACCATGTTTAGCGAATTCTGCGAACGGAGGAAAGTATTTTAATTAGGAGGCAAGTGAAGAAACAGGTTTGCTTGGTTCTTGGGTTTTTGGTTTTTTTTAATTGCATAAGTTGTGGTGAGAGCTACTCATCATGGAAACCTCTGACACGCAGGGCGCGTCACGTTCCCCAACGCCGTCTGTACCACACCTCGGAGACCAGAAACGTGCAACGCACGGGGCGCGCCTCCGCCTCCAACGAGACCGTGGAGGCTGGG